TCTTCACATTCTCTGTATAGTACCTCTGTGGCCAAAGTCAGGGGAGCCAAGGGGGACCGGAATTCGCAGGTGCTGAGTTCCAACTGTGAGTCAGACTGCTGGGTACCTTAACCCACTATCTCGCTGAGTTTTATCACTGCCTTCCACTCACAGCCCCTGTTTTGCAGATGAACAAACTGAGGCTCAGAGAGGTGGTAACTCAGCTGAGGTCACACCCTTGCTAAGTGCCCTTGTCAGAATTGAAACCTATTCCCCTGCAAGGACCTCTCTTACCACATCATGGTCCCATTGACAGAATCCAAGGTTACCAGGGAAACCAGTCTCTCTCCAGCACCTCTGAACACCCCTCCCTGCCAGGGCTGGACTTTGGATGCCCACACTCTTCAGGTAGCAGGTAATGACTTCCCCAAGCCCCCTGTCAAGATGTAGGAGTCCACACTAGCCAGGTTCCCTCAGCTCAGAGGAATGCCGAGGGGGCTTGGAGCCCACCCTCCTTCAGGCCACGGGAGCAGACTCAGGAGCTGGTGTGGCGTCAGGTGTTTGTGGCCTGGAACAAGAAGCTGGACAAGATGACCTGCAGCTCAGATCACTTGGGAGTGGGATGACTTTTGCCGGCAGAGAGCTAGCTGCAGAGACCTGGGGTGATGATGAAGGATGATGAAGGTGACTCTCAGGACTTCTCTGACTCAGAGTGCGCTCTCCCAGCCAGGAGCACTTGGCTTTGTTGGAGAAAAGACCACAAACTTGACAGAGGCCTGAGTTTCTGGGGAGACTGCCACTCCCCGGCCCTAATCCCACCCCACATTCCAGCACTGGCCAGTAACATAGGCTGTTGGAGGTTACTAAGTAATTGAGGAGCAGAGGTTTAATTACAGGATTGGGCTTTGGACTGTTTTGAGGGGAGCCTACTATTTGGCTGTTTCTTTCCTGGGGGGCAGGTGTCAGGTGTTGTTATTAGATGGAGTGAGGGCCAAGCAACACGTTGCACAGGGTGCTGAGCTGGACAAAGGAGTAGGCCCCGGCCCTGCCCCAGGGAACTTGGCCTCGGAAGCTGCCAGGCTAACAGGGGGTGTGTGGGGGGCTCTGCTCACCTCTGAACCCAGGCCGTCCAGAGACTCCCCCTGAGTCCCCACCAACACGGGAGTGAAACTGGGGTGACACGGGTGTGCAAGGGCAGGCAGGGCCCTGGCACCGGACTGCAGGCCCAGGCCCTTCCAGGTGCTCATCCGGCGCCGTTCCTTCCCCTTTCCTCCCGTCCCAAAACGCCTCGTACAAGCCGTGTACCGCCTGTGAAGGGGGCAGCAGGTGTGGAGAAATGAAAAAGCCCTCAAGGAGTGCCCCTGTCCTGGGCACGTCCTGCCCACTGTCCCGTTTAGTCTTTGTGGCACCCTAGGAGGGGCCGTGCGGTGCCGTGCCGCAGGGAGCTGGCTCGGAGGCGCTCGTTCTGCTCCTCCTCCTGCGTGCAGGCTGTTTACCTTCCTTTCTTCTACAAAATGCCCCACAAACTAACAGCTCCGCTCTCTCTGTTTCTGCCACCAGCACACAAGTCGGTCACCATCCCCTCCTGCTTGTATCAATTGACCACCTGATCGCCCAATTAACTAATGAATTAAGCTGCTTCCCTTAGCCCCTCGGCCTACGCTTGCTCCTTCCCACCCATCCCTCACCCAGATCTCAGATGCACACCCTCCAAGCATAGCTGTTACCGGTTGCCCTTGCCTGCTCCCGGCAGCCAGAGCTTCTCAGACCTTATCTCCGGAATCTCGTGGGGATCTTGTTAAAACAAAGATCCTCTGCTGGCTACCTCAACACATCAGCTCACTGAAACTCGTAATGACCTTAAATGAATAGGCTGCTTTACAGATGAACAAACTGAGGCCCAAAGAGGTTGCCCAACGTCTGGGATGGGGCCAGAGTGTCTCCATTTCTAGTAAGATCCCCAGTGACGCAAATGCTGCTGGTTTATGGACCACATGTCTAGACTAAACTCTTATTTCTAGTTATTTTTCTTTAATTTTTAAAAATCCTCACACAAGGATCTGTTTATTGATTTTAGAGAGAGAGGAAGGGGGCAGGGGGTGGAGTGAGAGCGAGAGAGAGACAGAGAGAGAGAGACATCAGTGCCTCCCACAGGTGCCCCAACTGGGCATCAAACCCACAACCTTTTCAGTGGACGGGGCCATGCTCCGACCGACTGAGCCACCTGGCCAGGGAGCTTTAATTTTTAAATAAGTTATATTTATAAAGTTGGAAATTTGAAAGCATAAAAAAAGCACTCAGTGAAAATTCTCCCTGCCAGGTCTATCCCCCCATTTACCCAGTCTCCCCGCCAACTTCCACTCCCCAGAAAACACTTATTCATTTCTTATGGATCGTTCCAAAGTGTCTCTGAGCCAATAAAAACAAATAAGCTCATCCTCACCCTGCCCCTAATGGCAGCATCTACACACCGTTTTGTCAACAGTGCATCAGTTTATCTTGAAGATAACTGGACACGGTCGGCTGACACATTCATTTTTAGAGTTGCATTGTTATTCCAATGTGCGGATATGCCATAATTTACCTAATCAGTCACTTCCAGGCGGACAATTTGAGCTGTTTATGAGCTTTCCGCCTGACCTCTTTAGGCCTCCGCCCACCCCCACCAGCCTTGCTGGGACCTCCCTCCCCCTCCCTGCTTCCCAGCCCCACTGCCCTGAGCCCCTACAGAGAGGCCTGCACACCTGCCCTGCGCCCTCCCCAGGTCCTGCAGCGCAGGCTGGTTGCTGCTCCCCTGAACCTCCAACCCACTGTTAGTCTCCTCCTCTTCATTTACCTCCCCGCTCTTAATCTCGCCAAACAGACTAAAGCAACTTGAACAAGGAACCGTGACTTTGATGTCTCCAGATGCTTTGCAGCCCAGAGCTGGGCACACAGCAGTTCTCAGGAATGTTAGTTATGCAGTGGAAGTGGCATAGGAATGGAGCCAGTGGGGCTGATTCTGGGTGTCACAACCCAGGAGCTACCCAAGGTGGGGGGGACCTCTTACCTCAGAGGTCTCAGAGAAAGAAGCCTCATCTTGTGCCTGTGTCTAGAGCACTTGGGTGGGCTGTGAGGATGTCCAGGGCGTGAAGGGGGAGCTGGGGTTCTCTTGTGCCCTTCCTGGGTAGGCAGCAGGAGGAACCATGATGCGGAGATAGGAGCCTGGAGGGATGGATGGCATGGGTATGTGTGCATGCCCTAGAATGAGCGGCTTCCCTTCTCTATTAACATCCTTATCACCCATCATGGGCCAGCTCACGTCTCAATTCCTCCAAGAAGCCTTCCTGGATTTCTCCAGCCCACACTGACCTCCCCTCCTCGGAATTCCCACCGTATTGGTGATCCCACCACTACTCTATATGTAGTCCTTGTGGCCTGCCACCTTGGACCATGTGAAACCTCATCTCCCTGATGGGGCCTGACAGCCTCCATGCCAGAAGACTTCTCTAATTCTCTGATACCCCCGAGTACCCAGGCCCGGGGCACAGCACTGCGCAGTGGGAGGGCCTCCACAGATGCTCCCTGAGTAAATGGGAGTGGGGTCCAGGAGCGCCACTGTGGTGGGGGGGGGCGGGACAGGGCTGGCCACAGGCGTCTCCAACCAAAAACCTTTCGGGAGCACCTCGCAGCCACCGTCCCGAAGGTCCGACTCATTCTGCCCATGAGCACTGGAGCAGGTCAAGGGGACTTTTCAAAAAGGTCACTGCCATGAGACATGGGCTGTGCTAAATTAAGAGATTAAAGGGGCATGACAAGCAATGGGATGCGTGAGGCTTGATTACACTGTGGATTAAAAAATGAAGACAACATTTTGGGAGGTGGTGATAGTGAGTCAGTGTGACCCAGTGTGGGACTGTGTTCTGGTCACTTGGGAAGATGTCCTTATTATTAGGCGGTGGGAACTGAAATGCTGGTCGGGGTGGGGAGATGCGCCCCGGTATCCACAACTTTTAACCTTCGGCAAAATGAAAGTGTGTGTGGTGAGGGGTGCGGATGTGGCGGCGTGTTAACAGTAGGTAAGCCCAGGAGAAAGAAATACAGGCGGGCATTTTACCGGTCTTTCCGTTTTTCCAAAATGAAAAGCTGAGGAGGAAATGCCTTTGGCACAACCGCCCGGGAGAAAGAGAAGGGGAACCGCAGCCTTGCTGCCCCACCGGGTGCACCAAGGATCTGAGACTGCTCACCGGCCCCCAGCCTCGCCCCTCGGCTGCCCAGAAAGCACCAAAATCTGTGGCCTGACTCTCCCCCCTCAGCATCTTTCACAGCGCCCGGGGGGTGCTCATCGGACCCTCCGCAGCGGACAGCCCCCCCCCCCCCCGCCAGGGTGGCGCCCTGTGCACCTGGAAGGCCCGCAGCTCATTTCCCTGAAAAGTGAACCCACCCCTAAGTGGGATGGACCCATCTTGGGTTTTAAAAAATTATATTCACTTAACTTTACAGAAAAATAATAATAAATTGACATACACAGAAAATGTCATGACTTAGTCATCCTGCATTCTCTGTGGAGCTCTGTCAGCGAAGATATTTCCCACCTTTGTCATCAGATTGGGACGCCGGTTTATTGCCACCCACCGCCCCTCCGCCCCTCCCCGGGGGCCTGCCTACTTCCCTTGGGGGCATTTCGTTATATCCATTTTCGGGGGCTCATACAGCCCTTCGGCTTGCTCTAGCCAGCCGTCTCCCCGGCGCCGGGCACAGAGCCCTTTCCAAAGTGCCCACGCCGCCCTGGTCACGACCCTCCTTGGAAGCCAGGGGCTCGCCCACTGCCTCCCTTCCCCAGGGAGCAGGGGTGGGGGGGGAGGACCCGGAGGGGACCGGGGAGGGGCGGCCCCCCTTCCCGGCGGGGCGCGGGCCGGGCGAGGTCCCCAGCCCACCGGGCCGTGCCAACAATGGCCTGTTGTAGACGGAGGCGGGCAGGAATGCTGCCGGGGGAGTTGGGCGGCCGCGGGGCGGGGCCCCTCCCAGCCGCAGCCTCTTACCTGCCCAGGTAGCTCGCATTTCCAGGCGAGCGGCGGGGCCCGCACCACCTGTCGCCCGTCGCGCGGGCGGGGAGGACCGCAGGGGGCATGGCCCGGTAGAGTGCCGCTGGGAGACGGTGCGGGGGTCAGTGCGGGGGTCAGTGCGGGGCAGCGCCGGTCCTCCTCCGGCGCCCGCGCGGCCTGCGGCAGCATGAAAAAGAACCAGACGGTGCAGGGCACCTTCAGCAAGATCTTCGGCAAGAAGCACGCCAACCCCAACGCCACCTCCCTCTACGCGACCAATCCCCCCTGGATTTTCACCCAGGAGGCCCGGGAGGAGGGCAGCAGGGACTTCGGTAAGTGCGCCTGGGGGGACGGCGGTGGCGGCCCCCGCCGCTGGGAGGCAGCCGGCGGCGCCCCGCGCTCCCGGGCTCCGGGCTCTCGGCGGGGCGCGGGGCGGAGGGAGAGGGACGCGCCCGAACCTGCGAACCGGCCACCGAGCAGCTGCCGCGAGGGGGAGGCGGCGCCGCGGGGCGTCTCTGGGAAAGGGCCGTGGGGGACAGGGGCGCGCGGAGGGGACCCTCCCTGCGGGAAGGCGGAGAGCTGGTCGGATCCTAGTCCCTCTTCCCAGGTGTTTATTTCCCCCCTTGGCTGGAAGTTAGGGTGGTGCCGCGGGCGTGAAGGCTTCCTGGGGCTTGCGGGGGCCCCTCCTCCCGCTGCGATGCTGTGGAGTCAGAAGTGCCCCCCACAACTGAGGGCTAGGGGTGGCCCCTTCCACCTTCCCCCTTCCTCCGTTCCCTCCAGGACCCCCGCACTCCTTTTCCCAGGGTCATAGGTAGGCAAAGAGAGAGGCTGCTATCTGGGCGCCCACACTCTGGGCCCCGCACAGGGGAGGCCCGGGAAAGCCAACCGGAGGCACTGCGAACCGAGTACCAGCCTGTGCGAGACGCCGGCTCACTTACCGGGCCGGGCTGCCCATGCGCTCGACCTGGAAGCCAGGGCTGGGGCAGCGCAGGCCAGGACGGCCCCTCCTGACTGTGAACCTGCCCCTGAGGTATCTCTCTGCAGGCTTGGGGAAACACCAGGCCCGCCCAGCCCTGGCTTTTAGAGGGCTGTAGGTCACCTCCGCACTGCCTCTAGCTGCATTTTGTAGCCTCTGTAAGAAAAAGGAAACCTTTTTGGGGGCAGGAGTTGCCTATGATCCAGGGCTCTCGACCCAAGGAGGGTCACTCGTCAGTGCTTTAGCTCACCTTAAGCTTCATCGTCACCCCGTTACCTTCACTGACCTTTATGGCCATCGTGCGCAGCCCCTGCTTTTGGATTCAGTTCAGCACCTAGGTTGTCACCATAGGGACACTAGGCACCGGGGCAGGAGTAGGGCAAAGAGGACGACACCTCTCCCGGGCCCAAGGACCCCAAACCAGTGGGTGAACGGCTAACCGTGTGCTGCTTCACCCTTCCCAAGCCTTCGCTGTCAAAGATCAAGGGCAGGAGGAGCAGAGAAGAGAGACGCCCTCTGATTGCAACCAGTATGTGAGCTGAACGGGAAGGGCAGAGAGCATTCTGCAGAGCAAACAGCAGGAGCCAAGGCTAGGAGGGGCTGGGGGGGTGGAGGTCGGTTTAGAGACACACAAATGCATGTGTGCGGCCAAGTGTAGCTCTGAGGCCCAAACACTTCCCCTCGCCTGTGCAGCCTGTGCACCAAGCATTGATTGATCCCCGTAGGTGCAAGGTGTCGTTCTAAAGTCCTGCTGTTGTTGACTCGTTGAGTCCTCATCCAACCTCTGATGCGGCAACTGTTATTCCTGTTTGGCAGATGAGGAGACTGAGACCCAGCGAGGTGGAGTGACATGTCCATGATCACACCGCTTTAAACGGCCAAGCCAAGATTTCCTTAAATATATACTTTAATGCTTTTTAGTAGACTCATAGAGTTGTGCAACCTTGACCGCAATCCGGCTTTAGAACATTTCCCTCACCCCAACATTTCTCTCAGGAGGCAGAGCCAGTATTTGAACACAGGCAGGCGGGCTTCAGGGGCCACACTCCTAGCCAGCTTCCTGAACTGGCTTTTTGGAAGGTAGTTCAAGGGTGAATTTGACTTGAGAGGGCATCTACCTGAGAACTGCCTCGGCTCACCTCACCTCCTTCCACCACACTCACACTTCTCGTCATTTGTGAGTGCACTGAGCTGGCTGCTGTTGGGGTTCATTCCCCCCGGTGATGGGAATGGGGGCTCGGTGGCGACACCTTCAGCCAGCTGCTGCTGCCTTCACCAGCCCGGGCAGAACTGGAACCTGGGGCAGCTCCTGGGCTGGGCTGGCCCCCGGCTGACTCAGCCCAGCTGCACCCCATGCACGGAAGCCTGGGGAACACTGTGCAACCGACAGGATGGCTCTCCAGTGTTTCTGGGTGTCTCCCCAGGTGCCGGTGGGCGTGGCAGAGGTCCTGCTCCCTGCTGAGCAGGACAAGTACTTGCAGTTGGTGATGGGAGGGACCAGTGTTGGGGATTCCGGAATGGAATGGAGATGCCAGGCCTGCCTTGGGGTCCTGTCTCTGTCAATAATGGGGCCGGCCACTCTCCGGGCCTCAGTTTTTTCTTCTGCGAAGTGGGGGTGGTGTCCAGTGTGCCTATAGATGTCCGTGTGAGGTTTGTATGTGGCAGTGCTTTGAAGAGCATTACAGAGAAATGCCCTAGAGCAAAGACTGGCAGATCATGGACCTGGTTCAAATCTAACCCATGGCCTGTTTTTGTAAATAAAGTTGTATTAGAACACAGCCAGCCTTGCCCATTGTTTCCATATTGTTTATGGCCAGTTTCCTGCCACAGTGGCAGAATTAAGTAGCAGAATTAAGCAGACGCTACTGAACCACAAAGCTGAAAGTATTTACCGGCTGGCCCTTTATTACTGTCAGTTCCTCCCCAACCCCAAGCACTGCCTGCCCTTGCCCATCTCGGTTCCTCTTCCTCACACTGCTGTAGACCAGAGGGCACTGAGGTGTGAAGAGCCATCCTGAGGTCTCATCCATTCCCCGGGTCTGTGCCATTCTCTTCCATGCTGGTGGTATCCAGCCCTTGGAGAGCAGGTGGCGGGATAGAGAGAGGAAATCAGTGTGTGTGTGTGTGTGTGTGTGTGTGTGAAGCAAGGAGTAGCCGCTCACCCTGTGGCTGCAGCCATGTGAAACTGTTTGCACAGGGGCAGGCTGGGTGCACAGGGAAAATGCAAACAGTCGTGTGAAGGTGGTGACAGATCGATTTTTCTTTAAAGAATTTCCGTAACATTTATTCCAGAAAAGCACTTCACTTAAAGGCTTCACTTAATGCAATCGCAACCCTAATTAAGCCTCCTGCCTCGCCCGCCCAAGGAAGGGCCTTAGGCTGCACAATAGTTTTTTGTTTTTTTTTTAATGTATGACTGCTCTCTCATACATTAAAATCCTGAGATGAGGGTTGAGCTGGAGCAGCCTGAGACGGGCGCTCTGGACCAGTCCCTTGTCTTCTGGGTTAATCGAGCCGTGCCGCTGCCACCCCAGCCCAGCCAAGGGACACCAGGCTTGCTGGGGAACTCTCTTTTTCCCCCTCCAAATGTAAATCACCTTTGTCACAACCACCTAAAACACTTATTTAAAATGCGTATTTCTGGAGTCCCATCACAGGCATCTGAAGTCAGAACATTGGGCTGGGGCCCAGGGTCTGGGTTTCCACCACCTTCTAGGTGATTCTTCTGTACAAGAGGGTTTGAGAATCCCGGAGTTTCTTCCCCAGCTTTGAGCCACATCCTTAATCTGCCAGGCTGGCAGGTGGGCCATTTTCTTTCCCCCTAACTTCCTGCAGGTTCCAAACAAATGTGCAGGAACTGTGACCAGCTCCTAAGTAGGAGAGCCCCAGTGCTCCCCAGGGTGGCTGCCAGTTCTGTTATCCCTGCACCTGTGTCTCAGGCCAGGCTGAAGGGCGGGGAGCCTTGAACCCTAGGAGCTGAGCATTTATCGGATTTGCCAAAAAGTCCACATGATTTTTTCCATAAAATGAAAGACACATTTTTCATTTTCACCAATAACTTTATTGATTTGGATATTTAAAGTATGTTGGCCATCTCCCACTATTGGCTTCTAGTGGTAGAGGCCAGGGGTGCTGCTAAACGTCTTCCAGTGCATAAGGCAGCCGCACAGCAAAGAATTATTTGGCCAGAATGTCAGTAGTACCAGGAAACTTGGCAAACCAGTTTTGACATGTTCAATCAGTCACAGCACTTTTTCCATACACTGCACAAATCTTTTTAGAAAAAAGATTTTATTAATTTTTAGATAGAGGGGATGAGAGGGAGAAAGAGAAGAAGAGAAACATCAGTGTGTGGTTGCCTCTTGCGCATCCCTTACTGGGGACCTGGCCCGCAAACCCAGGTATGTGCCCTGACTGGGAATCGAACCAGTGGCTTTCTGGTTTGCAGGCCAGCGCTCAATCCACTGAGCCACACCAGCCAGGGTGTTTTTACTTTTCTTGAAGTAATAAAGCATAATATGCCAAAATTGTTATATATTTTCTTCCATATTCAATATTAAAAAGGCTGCCCCCAAATTCACCAGTTTTGATAAGTTTTTTTTAATACATGCTGATATGACAGCTGTCACAATACAACCTAACAAAATTGTTTCGAATGAAGTTAAAGACAACTAAGCACTCCTAGAGCCATCATATGGAAAAAAACTAAATGAACTTTTTGGCCAACCCACTATTTCCCGCCAGGGCGGGACTGGCGCCCGCCTTCAGAGAGCTAACCTGTGCAGTGCAGGGCGTGAAGGAGTCTGTTGTTTACTCCCGTCCCCTGGAGGTGTGCTGTGGTTTGCTGGTAGTGAGAACACGCATACACACCCTGTCTGCCACCCCATTATATAAGCTCCTCTTGTCTCCACAGTTCCATTCAGAAAGACAGACCCTTCCTTGACCACTGCAGACAGGCTACAGGGTGCCCCTTCTCTCCCAGCCAATAAAGTAATAACAGTAATAACATTATCAGTTATTTCTTGAACGTGGCACTATGCTAAAAACTGTGCATGTTTTCTCGATTGAGGACACAGGCTCAGAAGGCTCATACAGGTAAGAGGACTCAGTCACTTGGGCTCAGGGCAGTTCAGAGGTCAGTGCGCCCTGGGGCCTTGGCAGGCTCGGATTCTGACGCGCAGCTGGAGGTGGAGGGAGACCGCACTTTCCACCGGCTCCCAGGTGAAGACCGTGGGCAGGGCCACAGATCCTGCTTTGAGTAGCAAGTCCGTCCCAGCTGGGAAGCAAAGGGCCTCTCTGCTGTGTGTTCCCTGCTCCAGTTCTTGCCCCCAAGACTCCTTCCTCCCTGCTCCCTCTTCTCTGCTCTGTGGCTCCCTGCCCCACCCCAGCCCAGCCTTCAGTGTCCCTTCTGCCCTTGGACAAAGAACTCTCTCTAGTGCCAGGGCAAGGCCTGCTGGAGCTTGCTGGGACAGACTGGCCTTTTCAGGTTCCTGTCATGTGGACCTGTTAATTAGCAATAAAGGGCCTTATTAATGCCATCGTGGGTCACACTTATATTCCCCCCCTCCAACTGCTTCCCTGCGAAGCTGGGGGTCCCCTAGTGGCCAAGGACTACATGCTCCACCCCAGTGGGCTAGAGGTGGGGGTCTGTTTTGGGGTTCTGGGTTACTCTGGGTCCAAGCAACAAACTCCTCCAGCTAAAGCCCCACCCCTCCCAAGCCCCTGGAATCCAATCAGACTGGTGTTGGGCGCTCCTGGGGTCCTTTGGGGGCTCCCAGCAATTTGGGATTGTACGTCATCACCCCTGCCTTCATCTTGTCATGCTATCTTCTTTTCCTCCCCTGATTTTGGGCTGCTTCCTGCAAAATAGGAGTAAGTATCCCCATAGCCTGGGAAAGTGCTCAAAGCCAGCAGGTGTCACATGGAGGAGCCGGGTTCCGACTCCTGGGTTCGTGTTTCCTTGGGGCCTCACCCACTGCGCAGTCTCACTGCGGAAGCGCTGGAGACCAAGGGAAGGGCTGTGGGGTCCCCACGTTATTTCCCCGCCGCGATGGCTAATACCAGAGGGAACCAGATTCCAGCGTTAGATACCTGGGCTCGAATCCTGGCCCCTTTTACTCACCACCCATGGGACCTTGGGCAGGGGACTTGACCTCTCTGAGCCTCAGAGAGGCTTCCCATCTGCAAAGTGGGGATAATAAATGGACCTCCCCAACAGGTTTGTGAAGGATACTTGGAATAGTGCCTAGCTCATACTACAAGCTTAATAAATGTTAGACATTTGCATTTTTATTATCAATATTTTCCTAGTTTGGACCTGTTCAGGATTTGGGGAAAGAGCTAAATAACCATCCCAGACCCCAGCCTCCATGGAGACCTTGGGGCAGCTTTGGGGTGGGGGAGCCGGTGCACTTTCCCAGGCTTTCAACCCTGAACTCTGTGAGCAAAGAAAAGCCCAAGACCTGGTGTGGGCTCCTCCTCTGGGGGAGAAGAGAGAAAAGGGGGCTTGTGCCCAGCTCTCAGCTTCCCCAAAGCTGGCCATTCCCCCTGCCACTTAACACACATTTACGCACCTGTGCACACACACACAGACACAGCCCCAGACGGAGAGAACCAGGTCGGCCCGGCTGGGGAGAGGCAGTGAGCCACGTGGCACGGGTGAGGCCCTGCTATCTGTGCCCGGAGCCCAGCACTCCCGGTCTGGACCCTGTGGGGGCCTCGGCCAGCCCCACCCACTCTGGGCCTCCAGTCCTCATCTACACGGAGGGTGGCCCCAGGTGCCCACTCTGAGTCCCCCCCGAGAAGGGAATAAAGGGCCACCTGCCTCCCAGGTACAGGGTTTCACCCGCACTTTGCCAGTGACATGGCCTAATTCAGGCTCAGCCCGAACCCTAGATGACAATAAGCAGTCTTCCCCATTAATGAGCACACATTATCTACCAGGCGCTACGCCAACCTGTTGCACACTTGATCTCACTCAGTCTCACACCAAGCCACCCAGTAGGGCCATTGCTCACATTGACAAAGAGGGGGACACTGCCTCAGAGAGGACTAGGGACACTCTCAAGGCCCCACGGTTTGTAAGTGATGGAGCAGGGACTGGAAGTGAATGAAATTCAGGTGAGCTCCCTACCCCTGCGACCTACACCGGGGCCTCGACCCCTCGTCCGGCCTCCCCTCCAGCTGGGGGGCTGCGGCCTTCCCCAAGTCCAGGCACCCACAGTCACCACGTAAAAACCCAAGCCAATGGCAGAGTCAGATTCTCCTCAAGGAGGCCTGGCAGGCAGGGAGCTGCCGCCCGCCCCAGGCCGAGATCTGAGGTGAGGTCTTCCTGCTGAAACAGGCGTGGCCCCGGAATTAGTTTTGAACCAGGTGTTTGGATACGAGGTGGTATTTATGTGAACTCAAGTCTCGGAGGGAGTGGAAATAAAAGCAAAGCTGCCTTTGTTTCCTGCCGATCTATGAGGGAGAAACGTAGCACATGTAAGGAACCCTGTGCACAAATCCATCAGAAAGAGGATTTCATTGGGGGGAGAAACTGGGACTCTTTTAATGATCCGGTCTGAGTGAAGGGAGGCGGACCTGGATTTTCTCCTACTTTACCACTGTGTCATTTTTAGATGAATTCGTCAGATAGAAGCTTGAGTTTCTATCTCGACAGGGCTGTGGCCCACCGGGGGCTCAGGCCCTGCTCCCGGGGTCTGCCAAGGCTCCCCGCCTGCTGGACGTGCGCCAGGGGCCTCTCCCAGGTGCCTGCCCCCTTTCTCTGGAAGCATCCGGGTCCACAGTGGCTCTCTTTCCCGCCCTCGGAGCCCCACCAGATGTTCCTCAGCAGCCTCTCTGCTCCGTGCAGCAAGCTCCGAACCCCAACTGCCCCAAGGACTCTACGGGTGGGAAGGCGCAAGTGAAAAGCAGACCCCGGGGCATTTCCCAGTTTCAGGGTACACAAGATTCGAGGGCAGGGCCCCTCTTCTCTGACTGAGCAGCCTCATTGGGTCCCCAGAGAGCAAGTTGTCCGGCCTCCTCCCTGTCCCCCCTTCCCCTCCTCATGATCCCTCCCTTCCTCGGAGGTGGCCCTTCGCCTCCTCAGCTGAGGAGGGGGCTGCCCTTCAGCGAGGCCCCTTCGCATGATCTGACGCTGTGATCCCACTGCAGTTTGCTTGCTTCCATAGGAAAATCTCCAGGGTTGGACTCGACTGCCTTTGTTTACTTTTGGACCTTGACTTGGAGGCTCAGAAAACCCCAGTCCCGACCTTGAACCCTGGAGGACCAGCAGACATTTATTATCTTAGGGTTCTGTAGGTCAGAAGTCTGACACTGGTCGCACTGAGCTAAAATCGAAGTGTCTGCAAGACTGTTCCTTCCTGGGGTTGTGGGAGTGAATCCGTTTTCTCGTCTTGTCCAGTGCCCGCCTGTGTTCCCGGCCCGTGGTCTCCTGCCTCCACAAAGGCAGAGAGTGCCCACCGGGTCTTTCTCCCACCACACCACTCTGACCTCGCTGCGGTTGTGCCCTTTCCCTCCCTGACCCCCAGCCACACCTTAGAACAGGGAAATGAAACTGGGCTTTCAAGAAATGCCCGGGTGCGGAGGGAGCCACCCGGGCCTCCCACCCCTCCCCCACCCGCAGGCCCGCCCCTTCGGTGATGTGTTCTTAGACAGGGTTTCCCTGCTGAAAACAGCCACAAACCGACTGAACAGCGCTGGTAGTCAAGGTTGAGTCTTGGAGTCTGAGGGGGTCTAGAGGGCCCGCCTGTGTGTGGGTCAGACCTGGCTGCGCCTGATCCCCGCATGCGCCCGGGCGAGCTGCTTCACCTCCCACTCCTCCCAGCCTCCCTGCCCCTGCCCCTGGAGGCCCCACCCTCCCCTCCGGGTCCCACTTTGGGAAAAGTGTGTGCAGTGGACCGGAGACCCCAGCTTTCCCACTTGCTCCCAGGCTTCAGGCAGGGTCTCCGACCTCTCCGTGCCCGAATTTCCTCGCCTGTAAAACAGGGATGACGACCGTGCAAATTGTGTGGGGCTGGTTTGAGAGTTAAAGGGACTAATCATGTATAAGATGCCAGGCCTGTTAAAACTGTTCCGTAAGTTTTGCCTATTATTGTATTATTTCTACTATTACAGTGATTACCTTGCTGAGTTGCTTGTTTCTAAAGTTCCTGGAGACACCCTCACAGGAGCCGTTAATGCCCTGGCCACTCAGCTGCAGCCCCCTGCGGAGATTCCAGACTGGCTCTGCTTGGGAGAGTGGGCCGCCCCCCGCCCCGCCCCGCCCCCGCTGAGGGCCGGCAGCCTTATCAGATCTAAGGCCTGCACAGCACTATCTAGAGAATGTCCCAGAGATCCTGGCGCAGACGCCCAGACTCCTGGGAGCCAGAGAGAATCCGGTGGGCTTTAACAGTAGCTGCTGGGTGTCTCCAGTTATCTCTACTTTCGTTGTTTCTAGTTGGGCCAAGTCTGCCCTCTCCTCCGCCCTTCCCCACGCCCCACCCCGCCCCACCCCGCCCCACCCCTCCGGGTCTCCAGCCTCAGGTGTGGAACCCGGCAGCCCGGCCCGGGGAATCCTGTCGCTGGGGAGTCCCCAGACGTGTGGAGCTACACGGAACTGCCGTTTTGGCCCCGTTGAAGGATGGGGAGCCTTAACCGCACCGCTGACCCTCTGCCTGGTAGGGCAGCAGACACACGGGGCTCTGAGGAGTGCCCCTGTCCCATTGGAAGCCCAGGCCGTCTGTCACGCAGAGAGCCACGGCCCGACGGGCAGGAACTGGGGATGAATGTGTTCTGATCTCAGGGCTTCCCTGGTGAGCCCAGTCTCTTTTGAGTAAAATGTTTGACTTTCATGCACTTTTCTCCTGAAGTCATGTGCAAGAGGAAAAGTAATTTCCTTTCCTTTAATGTGTCAGTTGGTGAGATTCTGATTCACTGGGATTTTGACCTTTCTTCTGTTACTCCTCTGGCTACAAAGGAGAAGCTGCTAAGTGTACGCAAGCCCTGCTGGCTTGCGAGCGACATAGGAAGAGGCCCACTGTGATCCCTGCCTCTTGGAGGCGACATGTGAACCAGAGATAAGATGTGAAACTCTTGTCAATGTGTTAAAGGTCATAGAAGATTGATTGAGAAAGTGTGGCTGGCTCCCCACACCCTCCCGACTGCAGGAGAAGCAGCTCAGAGCACAGGCCCAGTCACTGGAAGAAGAGGAAGGGGACCACACTTGTTGAGCACCTACTGTGTGCTGGCCCCACGTACTCCTCACAACTGTCCTACAAGGTTGGCACTATTGCCACTCCCGTCGCACACATGGGAAAACTGAGGCCAGAGAGGTTAAGTGGCTGAGCTTGGACTTGTACTGGGTCACGTGGACCCTACCGTCCTGTTCTTTCTGCTCTGCCCATAGGACGCAGCCATGCACACAACCACTGATGGGTTGGGGGCTGGAAGAGTCCAGAAGGTGCTGGGCCACTGGGAGCAGCAGGTGGCCTCTCCGACTCTGCTTGTTCCAGATTAGAAGTTCAAATACTTGAGAGAAAAGCCAGCTTGTTCTCCCCCTCTCTTTGAGATAAGCTGTAGCTGGGGCCTCCGCCAAGCTCCCAGAGCCCCAAAAGGAAGGCTGACTTGTGTGAGTGAGGGCTGAAGACCTGTAGGGGTGCGTCAGGAGAGGTGGTTGCCTGGAGCTGAGAGCCCCAGGGACGGACGGTGCAGAAAACCCCAGGAAACCGCACTTTGGAGTCTGTCCGATCCTGCCCCTTGAGCACACACCCTGTCCGCAGGATCTGACTCAGACAGCCGACCGCACGCCTGGCTTTCCTCACTGGGAACTGCAGGGCGGGTTAAACTCAGTAGCCAACATGCCTTTGATCTCCGCTCACTGTCTCCCCTCACTTGTCTCCTCTAGATGGGATTTATTATGGAGACAATCGGTTTGACACGGTCAGCGAGTCAGGAACAGCTACACTGAAAGCTCGGCCAAGAGTTCGGCCCCTACTGACCTTCCTTCCACTGGTGAGTATGGTTCTGCTCTGGGGTCCAAGGGTCTGCTCCGGATGGGCTACCTCGGCTGCCATGGAGTAGGGAGCACCCCTGCCTTGGGCAAGTGGACATCAGCCACACCCTCTGTTCACTTCCATCCTTCTTGATGCCAACCCAGGGTGGCTGCTTGGAGGAGGCGTGGCTGAGACTCACAGCAGAAAGGCTGGGATTAGGGGGGTCAGCTCCACCTGTCAAAACCCAGGGAGAGGTTATGGGGAACTTGTGCACAAAGGCAGTATAGTGGTGGGTGCCTCCATCTAAGTAGGACTTACATTCACAGACAGTCATTGAGGGCTGTCTGCTCCGTGCCTGCCTGTGTCCGCATTAGATGCTGGGATGCAGAGATGCCTGAGCCAGCGTTGCTGCTCTCCGGGCAGGTCTCGAGTAAATCGACAGACCGTTGGAACACAGGCCAGAGCAGGGGCAGTCGATCCAGCAGCGGGGGTCTAGGAGGACTTTCTGGAAGAGGTGACACTTGAGCTGTCTGGAAGGACAAAGAGCAGTGGTCCTTGCGAGCAGGACATTTGGGACAGATTTGTTTACGGGTCTGAAACTGCAAAAACTCAAAAACTCCCTTTTGGAGCTTGTGGCTGGGCTTTCGCTCTTTGACGAGGGAGACTGCTCTGTGACCAGCTCTGTCCTTTATGGTGTGACGCCTGGGTGTTCCGGGACCGCCTCGGCCAGCACCGACCAGTAGAAATACCGTGTGTGTCTCATAAGTAACTTCACATCTTTTACCTTAAAAGAAATAGGTAAAATTAATTTTAATAACATATTTTACTTAACCCAAAATATTCAAAAGATTATCATTTCAATATTTAATCAATGTGGAAAATACTAAGGAGATGTTTTACATTCTTTTCTCATACAATGCCTTTTTAAAAATTGTTGTTCTGTTACAGTTGTCCCAATTTCCCCCTTTGCTCTCCCCTGACCCACCCCCACCCCGCCGTCATTCCCCATCCTGTTATCCGTGTCTGTGTCATTTATGCTTGTTCTTTACCTGGACCCTTCCCCTTCTCTCCTCTCTTATCCCCCCCCCCTCTGGTCTCTGTCAGTTTGTTCCTCGTTTCCAAGCCTTTGGTTCTTTTTTGCTTCTTTGTTTTGTTGATTAGGTTCCACTTAAAGGTGAGATCATATGGTACTTGTCTTTCACTGCCTGGCTTATTTCACTCAGCATAATACTCTCCAGCTCCGTCCATGCAGTTGTGAAGGGTAGGAGCTCTTTTCTCTCTGCTGCATAGAATTCCATTGTGTAAATGTACCAGTTTTTTGATCCACTTATTTACTGATGGGCACTTAGGCTGTTTCCAGCACTTGGCCATTGTAGATTGTGCTGCTATGAACATTGGGGTGCATAGGTTCTTCTGAATTGGTGTTTCAGGATTCCTGGGGTTCATACATCTTTAACATCTGGCGTACCACACTTAGAGCACACACACCCGGTTTCTTACTAGCGACTTTCTGTGCGCTCAGTAGCCACTTGCAGCCAGTGCAGGCCCAGCGCCCTGGCGGTCAGCCCCATCAGCTCTAGGCTTACTCCTGCCTGTCGGACGGGTCCTTGTTGTGACAGTCTTGTTACTGATGTCGGTGAGGGTTTGTACCACTTAAAGGGATGAGCCACCAAATCCCCGCCTGTGTTCTCAGGAGCCTGTTAGACGCAGGTGCCCCACGCCCCGGCTGGGACCCGGCAGGGCCCCGGCAGGTCCTGCCAGCACTGCCCAGCACAGCCGCCTCCCTCTCTCTGTCACTGATTTCTTCTTGTTGGTCCAGCCTCTCCAACCAGACCCTGGGGTTCTAGATGGGGTAGAATAAGTCTCACATTTTCCTTGCTATAGCCACACAGACCTCTGCAAATACAACTTTAAACAATGTATTTTCGGCTTATAAAAACAATTTGCAGACATTATAGACAAATACAGAAAGTACACTGCCAACGAAGAGTATAAAGCAAACGGGTTACCCCTGCCTTTGTTTCCAGCAGAAAACTGTTACAAGGGTCACAAATGCAAAGTAAATAATTTTGAGATTTTTCTGTTGCTGAAGGTAATTACACTGCCTCCCCTCACACACACCCGGCATACGTACTCAGAATCACAGGGGTGTGGGCCCGGGGCTGACACACTCATACCTGCTCTGGTTGTTAAAATATTGAATTAAATGGCTGTTGCCCCCTAACCGGTTCCTGCTGTCCTGGGTTCTCCCCAGACCTGCAGCAACTAAAGGATTAATGCCGCACAGCCGAGCTGACTCTGATTGGCTGGTATCCTGTGTGCCCCGCCTACCCACTTCGGTTCCCTTTGGTGACTGGTGGAGTCCCGGACGTCTTTCCTCAGCTCTGGTTTGCACACTCTGGTTAGATCTGGTTTGGGCCAGTGAGTGCCTGGCTCAGGGGCAGTGCAGACCCCCGTCCTGTGGCCACTGCAGAGGGCTTGGCTGGCAGGTCAGGCTGGAGTTCCTGAGAGGGGTCCTTCCAGGCAAGCCTCAGAGCCAGTCCCAGGACATGGAGACCTCCCCAGCACACTCACGCCCTTCCCGGGTGAGGGTGAGAAGGCACCCACGGACAACTGCCAACTCAGAGGGGCTCGAAGGGTCCACACCAGCTTCGTTTTACAGAGGCAGGAACTGGACCCCAAAGGGGAAGTTCACTCCATGGCTTCTGTGCCAGCTGATGGAGGAAGGGCAGGTGGAGCGGCCTGGCCGACAGGCACTCTTCCCATTTTACAGATGGAGGCAGTGAAGCAGAGAATGTGGCAGTAGCTGGTTTAAGGTCACACAGTTTTTAAGTGGCAGAGCTGGGGTTTGAACCCCTGCAGCCAGGCTCCAGGGTCCGAGCTCCATTCAAGCCGTCCTACGCTCCCTCCCACCCACCATCTAGAAGCTCTCATCTTCCCTCCCAGCACCAGCCTGCAGAACTGCGTGCGTCTCCTTGTCTGCCTGTCTGAACTCCCGTCCAGCGGCTGCGGCCTGCTGGGCCGAGGGTCTCTTGCCTCTTTAGGGCCATCGGCTCCTCTGTGACCACGACGAGGCTCTGGGCCACATGTGTGCAATTTTGCTCATAATTTTAGCAGAGGCCTCTCAGGCCCCCGGAAGCCCATCTATGAGGCACCTTTTGATCAGGAACCTTTGGCCCGATGGCTCATATCCCTGGGACATCTCTGTCCTCCTGATTTAGGTCACAAGATACAGAGCAGCCCCAGAATCTTTCGTCACCTGTTCCTGGTTGAGGGGAATCTGACTCCTCCCCCTTGGGCACTGGGCCACGTCCTCTGCTTTCTTCCAGCTGGGGCAGGAGGCGGGGAGAGTGAGAAGCAAGAAGACTGAGCTCCTAAGGGTGTGGTTCACACAGACACATCCTCCCGCCCCATCCCCAGCCCCTCCGAGTCAGAGTGGGTGGGAGGGACACCGTCCTAAACCAGCTGGGCCTCACACTACCCTGTTCTCCCTTCCCACGAGGGGAGGGCACCCCCTGGGCCCGGCTGCGCTGGGGCAGGGGAGGCAGCAGCCCTGAGAAGCCAGGCACAGGCTCGGCGAGGCCTGTGCTGTTTCAGAGCTCTGTCCGGACCTAGGTCGTCTTCCGAATGCAGCCTCACTGCCAGAGTCCCACACAGGCCTGCGAAGGGCTGGGTGGGGGGTGAGGGCCACAGCGGGGGCTTCTGCCCCTCCCTGGAGCCTTCTCACCCTGTCTGAGGTGGTGAGTTCAGAGGACTAAGAAATACTTTCTCAGGCCCTCAGAAGCCATAGGCCAGTCATGAGGAGGACCTTGGGGTCCCTCGGTGACTGGGTCTGGACCCGATTGATCCCCAAGTGATTGACACCAGTCCCTGCTCTCATCTAAGGGAGGGTCTCCCCTGCTGTGACTTTCCATGTTAAAGTAACTGCCCAGGCCAGGGTCAGAAGGCCCCCTGAAGCCAGGCCCTTCAACACAAGGGCCACTCCCAGAGCTCTGCTTCCACCTCTGTCCAGGGCAGCGTTCCAGCCGCCAGGACCACCCTGCTTCCTGCTCAGAGAGCTATGAGAAACTGGGTCACATTTGCCAGGCTTCAGAGCTGGGGAGGACCTCAGCGCTCACGCGGACAACAAAACCAGGGCCCAGGGAGAGAGGGTCCTGCCCCATCACACCCCTCAGCCGAGGCGGCAGAGGGCCCTGATCTCGGGTCTCCTCTCAGCCTGGTCCTATCCACACCAGGCGGACCCGGGATGAGTGGGGGCGGATCCTTGCTTCCCAGTGACCTCTGCCTCCCAGGGGCAGCCAGGCCCAGTCCTCCAGCCAGAGCCTGTGCGTAGCTTTTTGGAGCTGAGCTGGTAAACAGCTGGTCATGGGGGGGTTATACTTCTCTCCGGGGTTCCCTCTTGCCTCTCCTGGTCTGAATGAAACTGTCCCCAAGGTGATACATGTGAGGAATTAAAAATTAAGTGCCAATGTGGCAAGTATGGGCAAACTGGCCAGACAAGTCCCCAGGGTGCCCTGGGCAGCGAGAGCTGGCTGCGTCACCCCACCCTCTGAGTCAGGCAGGCCTGGCTGGGCCCAGGACAGGCCCCCACCTGCTCTGGACCCCTGCCTGGAGTCAGCTGGGTTTCCTCTTTCGACTCCACCCCTGCCGCAGGAGCTCCTCTCTGAACCGAGGCCCAGGCTCCCTCTGGGGCTGGGGTCGGAGCTCCCTGGGATGAGCTGGGCAGGGCAGTTGTCATTACTGGCTTTTGACAGACTAGTGTGGCCGACGTCAGCTGGGAGGGTGGTGGGCGAGGGAGCTCTGTGCAGTCACATGGGGAATGTGTCGTGGACACGGACTCCGTGTTCACGGCCGAGACCTGCAGGGAGTGTACAGATGGCGCTCCCACCCCACCACAGCCCACCCCTGGTCTCCCCACCTGGCTCCTTTCCTCACAGTGCGGGCCTCAGCCTGAACCTCCCAAGCTCCATCCACACCCTTATCCTTACCCACACCAGCCACCCCTTGCGCTCAGAAATG